ACACGGACAAACTATGAGAACGTTTGTCTTCCTTAGAAATCCTTTTCTAGGTTGAAGAGGACAAGTAGTTTGCTGAATGATTTATGAGGCTATAGGCTTTTCATCATTTCTTAACTCCACCTAGCCCTGTCTCACCACCACAGCAATAAGCATGTCCACTTCCTCAGCAGCACGAGCCTCTAATGTGTCAAAAAAAAGGTTGTTGACTGAGCATTCAAAGCTGTTTTGCAGTCTTTCAACAACTCTCTCTCCACTTTATGCCCAACCTTGGCATCAAAGAAACTATCCCAAGCTCAAGAATATCTTCCTCTGTAGAGTGCACAAGTCATAGTTTCTGTGCCTCTACTCTCCCTGAAGAATAGATATACACCTTCATCCCAGCTTCTCTCCATTTCCTAGCTGCTGGAATGACCAATGAATGCTACTCTTATTCTCCCAGCTGTAAAATACTGCCTTCCACATGAATCTTTATATTTGTTATCAGTACCATGGTTTTCCATCCAGAGATCTCTGCCAGCACACATGATCTACCACAGCTTGGACATCTATTGTAGATCATCCACCCCATTCCCAGATGTTGGAGAGGTCAAAATACCCTATCCTGATGGGAATCCTCTTCAGCCTGTTACCTCAAAAGACTGAGGTCCTACTGGCACTCTTCTTTCCAAGAAGGAAGAAGTATTTTTCTCTGCGGTTAATTCTTAACATTTTCTCTGATATAAGGAAATAAGATGCTCTTCACAAAAGCAATCATGCTTATAGTCCTTCTGATATATAACAAGACCACAGTGACTTTGGTGGGCACCTACTGGATGCTACTATGGGAATCACCCTTGGTCCAGAGGGTGGAGAGTGGCGGCAGCTGTGCCCCCAGAACCATTCATCTCAGAGCTGGCAACTGCCTGCAACTAAAGCACTTCAGGGAGAGGCTACCTCCATGCCCCCAGAAGTGGAGAAGGCAGCTGCCCCTAATGTTTTTACAGTACTATATATCTTACTTTGTAGCATTTTTCACACTAATTGTGTATTAATTTATTGTTTGATTAAGGTAAGATGTCTTCATTCAACTACTAGTCCCAAATACGTAAATTCTGCCTGGTTTTGCTCACCACTGTATCTGCAGAACCTATTACAGTGCCTGGCACATAGCAGATGCTCAATAAATATTTGCTGAATGAAGAAATGAATGAATCATAGAGACTTCCCAGAACTAATCCAAGATTTATTCTATTTTACCATACTACTTGTCTGGTGATCCCTTGTAAATTTATATGGACTAATTCCTTAGTGTAGCAGAAATAGGAAGGATCCAAGAATTTTACTGTTATAAAGGGTGCAGCAGATAAACACATTAAGAACTTACTTCTCTAAATTCTGACTGAGTTCCTAGTAGAACTAGGAACTAATCTAGTCTGTCAGTGTACCTATATTTCTGGCTGGCAACAATTTGATAGATTTTTGAACTTTATAATCCACAAACTACTGGCTTGATTTTTATAGGTAACTGCAACACAAAATTGGCAAGTGTTCTATTAAAATTTCAGGGGCACCTGGGTGGTGCAGTTGGCTAAGCATCCGACTCTCGGTTTCAGCTCAGGTTGTGATCTCAGCATTGTGAGATCAAGCCCCGCATTGGGCTCCGTGCTCAGCACTGAGTCTCTTTCCTTCTCCCTCTGCCCCTCCCCCTGCTCGTGCATGCTCTCTCTCTCTCAAAATAAATATCTTTAAGAAAAATTCAAACTAGATGCATCTTTTTTTTTAATGTTTTATTTATTTATTCATGAGAGAGAGAGAGAGAGGAGAGGCAGAGGGAGAAGCAGGGAGCCCGATGCAGGACTCGATCCCAGGACCCTAGGATCATGACCTGAGCCGAAGGCAGACGCTTAACCATCTGAACCACCCAGGCACCCAAACTAGATGCATCTTGAGAATTGTTCCTATTTCCATCCTGGAACCTATCACCCACAGAGAACCTGTCTCCTACTTCTGTTACCTTCAACTTCCTTCCTTGCTACCACAAGCATCGATTCCTACCTTTTCTCTAATACTTTGGTAGAAGCATCATCCTTCAGCCTTACAGAGACTGGATCTTTTCTCTACATTTTTGAACCTACCCTTTCTAACTCAAATTGTTGCTAGCCAGAAAGACAGGTACACGGACATACTAGATTAGCTCCTAGTTCTACTAAGAACTCAGTCAGAATTGGGAAAAAGAAGTTCTAACTCAACCTACCAATTACTGCCTCTCTTTTTATCTTTAATCTTCTTTGACAGTGCTTACTCTTCGGCTTAAGTTTCCTGCTACCAAGAACGCCTTCACTTTTGTTATTCTAGCAAATTACCATTACAATCTTTCACTTTACACTTTTAAAATTATAAAAGCAAGAAATGTGGGGCATCTGGGGGATTCAGTCAGTTAAGCATCCAACTCTTGATCTCAGCTCAGGTCCTGAACTCAAGCTCGTGAGTTTAAGCCTGGTGTTGGACTCTATGCTGGGTGTGGAGCCTACACACACATAAATAAATAAAATTTATATATATATAAAAGCAAGAAATGTTTGTTATATTCAATAAACAGTCTGGGGACAATGGATAACCACATGCAAAAGAAAGATGTTGTCCCTACCTCATATCATAAAAAAAAAAAAAAAGACCTCAAAAGGGATTAAAGACCTAAATGTAAAAGCTAAAATTATAAAACTCTTAGAAAAAACTGTAAGTGTAAATCTTTGTGATCTTAAATTAGACACTAGTTTAGCTATGACATCAGAAGTATAAGCAACAACAAAAAAATAAACTGGGTATCATCAAAATTAAAAATTTTGTGCTTCAAAGGACACCATCAATAAAGTGAAAAGACAACTCAGAGAATGGAAGAAAATCTCTGCAAATCAAATGTCTGATAAGGACTTGTGTCTAAAATATATAAAGAACTATTACCACTAAATAAAAGATAACTCAATTTAAAAATGGGCAAAGGATCTAAATAATCTCCAAAGAAAATATACAAATGGCCAATAAGCACATGGAAAGATGCTCAACATCATTAGCCACTGGGAAATGCAAATCAAAACCACAATGAGATAGCATATCACACCCACTAGGATGGCTATAATCATCAAAAGGACAGACAGTAACAAGTATTGATGAGGATGTGAAGAAACTGGAATAACCCATACATTGCTGGTAGGATTGTAAAATGGTACTGCCACTTTGGAGAAGTTTGGCAGTTCCTCAAATGGGTAAATACAGAGTTACCATATGACTTAGCAATTTCACTCCTAGGTATACACCCAAGAGAAACTTAAACTTATGTTCACATAAAAACTTGTACATGAATGTTCAGAGCAGTATTATTCAGAATAGCCAAAAAGTAGAAACAACCCAACTGTCTATCAATAGATGAATAAAAGATAAATAAAATGTGGTATATCCATACAATGGAATATTATTCAGCCATGAAAAGGAATGAAGTACAGATACATACATCAACATCAATGAACCTTACAAATACGGCAAGTAAAAGAAGCCAGATGCAAAAAGCCACATATTATATGATTTCATTTATATGTAATATCCAGAACAGGGACACCTGGGTGGTTCAGTTGGTTAAGTGTCTGACTTCAGCTCTGGTCATGGTCTCAGGATCCTGGGACCGAGCCTTGCATTGTGCTCTGTGCACAACAGGGAGAACAGAGAGTCTGCTTGTCCCTCTCCCTTTGCCCATCCCCCTGCTCATGCTCTCTCCGTCTTATATAGATAAATAAAATCTTTAAAAAAAAAAAAAAATATCCAGAACAGGCAAATTATCCATAAAGACAGAAAGTAGATTTGTGGTCACCCAGGGCTGAGCTGGCGGGGGCGGGGGGGGGGGGGGGGCGTTGTGAATTGAGGGTTGGGTAGTCATTGCTAAAGCAGAATTGCTCTTCCAGGTAATGAAAATGTTCTAAAATTCATTGTGGTGAGGGGCGCCTGGGTGGCTCAGTTGGTTAAGTGGCTGCCTTTGGCTCAGGTCATGATCCCAGGGTCTTAGGACTGAGCCCCACATCAGGCTCCCTGCTCAATAAGCAGCCTGCTTCTTCCTCTCCACTGGTTGTGCGCTCTCTCTCGCACTCTCTCTCTCAAATAAATAAAATCTTTTAAAAAATAAAATAAAATTCATTGTGGTGATGGACACACAACTCTGGATATATTAAAAGCCACTTAATTGTACATTTTCAACCAATGAATTGTACAGTACATGTATCTCCCAAAAAAGCTATTTAAAAAAAGAAATACATATACATATATACATATACATGTATACATATACATATATACATATATGTATATGTATATATATACATATACATGTATACTGCATATACAAAAGAATACAAAGTCCCTTTCCTAGTCCCACTCCTCACAGGTAAACTGTATGTTATAACAAATAGGTACATATCCTCTCAACATTTCTCCCTGTGTATAAACAAATATACAGAGAGAATTTTTTAATAAATAGAAATCTACTCACCTTCCAATCTCTCACATCAATATACACATTCACTTTTTCTCCCTGAAAATACTTCTGACATCTTCCAAGTCAATACATATAGCACTACCTCAGTTTAAAAAAAAATATTGTGGTAAAAAAATACATAACATAAAATTGACCATTTAACCATTTTTAAAGTGTAAAATTCAATAGCATTCACAAAGTTGTGCAATGATCACCACTATTTCCAGAACTTCTCATCATCCCAAACAGACACTCTGTACCCATTAGACAGTAATTTGCCATTTTGGGCACCTAGGTGGCTCAATCAGTTGAGTGGCTGCCTTCAGCTTGGGTTATGATCCCAGGGTCCTGGGATGGAACCCCGCATCAGGCTCCTTGCTCAGCAGGGAGTGGGCTTCTCTACCTGACCTTCCCCCATCTTGTGCTCTCTCTCTCACTCTCTCTAATGAATAAAATCTTTTAAAAAAATAAATAATAATTTGCCATTTCTCTCTCCTCCCAGCCCTAACATCACAACCTGAGCCAAAGCCAAGAGTCGGATGTTCAACTAACTGAGCCACCCAGGTGCCCCTGCTTTTCATGTTAAAATGAGGTATCTTTACTTCCAAAATGACCATTAAGGTCTACCAATAAAGCACTGGTTAAATAAGGTTATTTCTACTTTTTCTCTATTACAAATAATATCTCCCGGTTGAACTCCTAGATGTGAAACTGCTAGATGACTTTTACATTTTGATGAATGATGTCAAATTGTTCTCCCAAAAAGTATTTTATACTTTTACCATATGTTTATGAGTGCCCATTTCAGAAAATACTTGCCAGTATCAATCTTTTTAATTTTTGCTAATCTTAAAGGAAAGATATTTTAATCCTAATTGTTTAGATTTTTTAAAAAGTTTTAATTTACACTTTCTGTTATACCATAAATGATCTCAATGGAAGGTCTGAGGCTTAGCAGTTAAAGTTATTAATGATTAAAGGTTAAAAAATAAACTTAATTGTGGTTCTGTTACTGTCACTAGAGAGGAAAATAAACTCTACTCATGCATGTAAAGTTATTTCACTTAATTTGACTTTCACGTGAAAACCTCTCCAAAATATAAAAGGATTCTCTTTAGTTACATTTAAAACATTTCATTCATCTGGATCCCAACTGCTAATCTGTCTTCAGCAACATTGTTATAGATCTATCAGGTAATCTAAGAAATTAGCCCTGAATTTAGATTGTTTTAACATTGCTCCAAAATTCCGTGGAGACACTGAGGATACTGTAATATATATTAACTATCTATTCTTTAGGATTTGGAAGTCTTATTCCTGCATTAAATTTTATTAACAGAAATGAAGGTTCTTTCTTCTAGTACTCAGTGTTTTTTAATTGAATTAGAATGTAAGGTTACAGTATTTTCCATTACTAATTAGATAACACAAAGTATATTCCTTTTGGTCTTAATTACAGGAACCCCAAATCTATCACTGGAATGCTTTCTTTTTTTCTCCTTTTTTTTTTAAGTAGGCTCCACACCCCACAACATGGGGCTTCAACTTAAAACTCCAAGATCAAGACCTGAGCTGAGATCCAGAGTTGGACAGTTAACCAACTGAGCCACCCAGGTGCCCCTGGAATGTTTTGAGTAAGGAGCAACATTCTCACACTGCATGACTATATTTCTAATATATTAATAAGGACATCATGTTCAAGTAAATAGATAGACAATATCATTTTGGAGGTTTGGGAGATTATTACAAAACTTCCAAAGGAAAATGCAAGTGATATAATTTCCACTACTTTCTTCCAACCCAACACGTGAAAATTGACATTTTACAATTAGCTAATATAAAAACTATGTGATTTTTTGCAAAGGCAAAAAGTAATTCAAGACCCCAAGTGCCAGTTACAGAGAGCAAACTTTCAATAATTCTTCTCTAAGTGCTTGACGGTTAACAAAGAAAGGCTGATCATCTAGCCTGGGAGTTTATCCTGGCCCTTTGGATCTTAGTGGGACAATTATGCAATCATACTATAGATCTATCTGTTTCAGTTATCTCAATCTGAGAACTACTGTTCAACCTAACGGACTGTCGTTGTTAAAAGCGACTCCAATTTAAAAAAATATCTGAAATATTCAAAGATGTTTGTATTTGCCCCATACTATAAAATAATAATAAGCTTTTATATTGTATTTGTTCCTTATTTCCATGGGTAAATTAAATCATAAGCATAAGAAAATGCCGTATTATGGGAAATCTGTATATCAGAGTAAGAAAAGGAAAACTACTTCTAAAAATAACCTACCAGAATCAAAGAAGCTTTTTCTACCACACTAGATTGTTTATTTGCATATCTCTTAATATTACTTTAACTGGACTTTATGAGCTCACATAACTAAATGTCTTTTCAGAGCATGTAAACTCAATGTTTACTTTTCCAAAACTAAAATTCCACTTCTCTGCTGTAGCCAAAATTATTAGCATCTCCATTAACAAGCTGTAGTAAATTTTTAGTTTTTTTTTTTTTTTAATTATGGAAAGGACAGACATGACTTACCAAACGTTCAGAGATAATCAATAAAGATAAAGTAAATAAAAGTTCAGAGATAAAGTAAATAAACAGTAATGGATTTCCACACATACTTTACCCGAATAAAATTCTATTTGCTAGGATGCTGGAACATATTTTTCCTTCCATGGAAGATGATGCAATCACTTAGAAATTTCTCAAAATACAGATATTTGAAATTCCCTTCTGACCCATTCAAAATACAGATGTTCCCACAGCAAAAGGAACTACATTAACTGACATCAGTACACATAAATTTTTCTATTTTATATTTGAGATGCCTTTTTCAGAGGTATAATATATGAAGTAAACCTAAAACACTCATTTATTTCACTTGTAGGAATATTCAAAATTCAGATTCCAGTGATGGGTAAAAAATGTCTTGACATAGCTAATAAATTCCCAAAAAAGCAAAACCTTACTTGTTAAAATATGAAATGTTTAGGATATTTTATGGAGCAAATTCCTTCTTTAACAGTTAAGACCTCTCTCTCAACATATCTATTTTCTTTTTAAAAGACTTGCTGAACAATTTTCCTTAAGTAAACATGAGTATTTGAACACGAACACACCCCCCCCCCCCCCACACACACACCCACCCCCCACGCCCCCGCATACTCTGCTAAGATTGGGTGAATTTATTCTGGTGTTAGTCTTCCAATGCTTCTAATGCTGCTGGCTAAATGCCTTCTATTGCCATATATAATATAAAGTATGGTTATGTCTTTCTAAAAAATCCAATAAAATTGCTTCTCAGAGCTATAAAGTTAGAATATTTTAAAAATAAGCCCAAAAGGCTTAGAAGTATTTAGTTCTTAAGGAAAAAAAGTCTGTAGATCACCTTTCCAAGAGTAATTTATTTTGCCTTACTGCTAAGAGTCCAATGACTCTGTGGGCTGGATATTTCTTCAGAAGGTCCACTGTATATATAAAAAAATTTCCAAAAAGGACTTCCAAAGAACTAAGTTCATGAAATTTTCTTTTATGTGCTTCCTAAAAGCATCCAAATCTGGAGAACTTAGAAACAAGCCTTATGACAGTAAAAATGCCTAAAACCATGTAGTAATCTTTGATAAAATACATAATGGCTTATTTTTAAAAAAATAAAAGGTTAATTTTTTAAGACATGAGTAAGATTCTGTAATAAAATGGAAAATTAGCTGAAGTTTAACTTGAAATTTAGAGTTAATTACAATGCACAGAAGCATTATAAATCATGTATCAAAACATTATCCAAATTAATTTCTACAAATCCTTAGTCTCCCTGAAATCAAAGTCATATGATAGAAATTAAATTTTCTTCATGTCTTCTAGTTTGCTGGGGGCAGGTAGCATGGGGCACATGGTTAGGAAACCAGGATATGTGTGCGGGCATGTTGAAGGTTATTACCATATGAAGAACATATAGCTTTGCCCAAAAAGAGTAAGGAAACAATGCATTCTGTACAGCCTTCATAGTACTTTTGTTATGACTTACAGCAATAATATTCAAAATTTCTGTTCCAGTAACTCCTAAAATAGTTGTTAAATCTATGTACTTACTTTCTGCACATTTTAGTTGAAAACTAGAATTTTTCATCAAATAGTTTGAAAGAATTCTGAAATTAGTGGTAATTTCTGAAAAATGATCTTTTTTTTTTAACGTATCCAGTGGAATCTAAATACCACGATGATTTAATGCCCACCATGATTCACTTTAAAAAAAATACATGAATGAATTTTTTAGTACTTGGGAACTTTTATATCATTCTTTTTTTTCCCCCCTTGAACTGCATTTTCATTCCATTCTTATCTTAGAAGAGTGGCTTTCAACATGGGTAGAGAGGTGAAGTCTCTGGGGGTGGTGGTGGGAATTTTGCCTACCAGGGGATGTTTGGCAAAGTCTGGAGACATTTTTGATTGTCAAAACTGGGATGAAGGGCATTACTGGCATCTAGTGGGTGCCAGAGATGCTGCAAAATGTCATACAAAGCTATGACAACCCCCAACAACAAAGAATTATCTGATCCAAAACGTCAATAGTGCTGAGGTTGAGAAGCCCCATCCTAGAGAAATATATTTCTATGCCTGAAAATCTTTTATTACATTATACTTCTCTACAAAAAAATACTTTTATAAATTGATAAAAATATAAATTCCTCTAACATAAAGGTCTAATTGTTAAAAATAATGTCTTCTGGAATGAGTTATTACAATTATCATTAGTACACATTAGTCTTACATGATTAAACAATCATTACCCAATATGAAAAGTGAAAATACATTAAGATGTTTCTAATGAGATGGAAGGAGCTTATTTTGTTATTTTCAATATTCTCATTTTTATGAGAGCTGAGAAATCTCCATTACATAAATAGGTAGATGGAAAAGGAGTTCTGTTGGAATAATGTCACTTATTCTGTGGGCTCCTTCTAAGTTATATACATGAGTTACACAGTAATCTACTGTTAAAAATTATTTCAGTGATCAGCTAATAACTTAAGTACATTCTCTTTAAACATTGTTAAAAGCAAAGAATTTGAAACCAATTGACTTAAAAGGCATGCACTTTCTCAATACCTGCAGCTATTCTGGTGACCCAGAGATTTTTATACCTTTGCTTTACTATAGAAGTCAAATTAGGCCTTGTTTCTACGAAGGTTCTTTGGGAACTTCTCTTACTTCAATATCGGAACACACTTCACTTTTCAATTAGGGTCTGGGGAGTCTCAGCAGGCATTTTGAAATCCAGTAAGTTACTTCTGGAAAATCTCTGTTAACTGCCCCATAACCATGTCTGTTTATTAGTCTATCATGAAAATTCAAGCATGGTTGTCATGCCTAAGCCTAGGTCTTAGAAACTTTATGAAAATTAGATTCTCAAGAAGGAAAATCGTCCAAATAGGACTAAAATTCTCTCCATTACTCCCTTACCTCTTAGATACTCTGTACTGTGCTGTGGTCAATTTTCCAGTCTCAGGGTCATGTACTGTAGCTCGGCTCAGCTACAAAAAAAGAGAAAGGACAAGGACTTACTCACGTAGCAGGCAATTTTGGGCTTTTGTTTGTTTTGTTTTGCCAAGCCACAGGTGATTGGAAGGGTTCA